TTGCCGATCTTCACTCCCTTGGTCGGGTCTGCTCCGAGGGGAACGAGTTCGAAATCACCGTCCGGAATAGGTCGGAGGGGGATTTGCTCGCTGCTGGCCGGTTCGTCTTGGTCAAAACGGGCGTCGAGTGCAATGGAGTCGACCTTTGGTGGAGCCTTCTGAACTTCTACCTCAGGAGATGCTCTGTCGGGCTCTTGCTTTGTCTTCTTGATGGGCCTAGTGCTGGGACCTACGTCGACAGTATCCCGACCCCTTGAAGCGGCGTTGAAGCACCGGCGGGCAGCAGCGAGGTCGCCCTGGACGGTGGCTACCCTCCCCCTCTTGGTATAGAACTTCATCTTTAGGTGGACAGTTGAGGGGACCGCTGTCAGTTCTGCCAATGTCGGCCTCCCCAGGATGCAATTGTACAGGGATGGGCAGTCAATGACGAGGAAGCGGACCTTCACCTGTCTTGTAGCAGTTCCTTCCCCGAATGTCACGAGGAGCTCGACATATCCCCAAGGTTTGGACGTCGAGCCGTTGAAGCCTTGAAGGTCCGAACCTATATATGGAGACAGATGTGAGTCGTCCAGTTGTAAGGTCCGGAACAGCTGAGTGTACATCACGTCGACGGAACTCCCTTCGTCGACCAGGATGCGATGCACGTCGAAATTGGCCATCTTCGCCCTTATCAGCAAGGGGATGACTGCGTTCGGTGCTCCGCCGGGGAGCTCTTCCAAGTAGAATGTGATAGGCTCTGATCTGCCCCTTACCATTTCAAAAGTCACAGTTTGAGGAGGAGCTTTGTCGACCAGTTCGTCCAACTTCCTCTTGGCTGAGTTGATGGTGAGGTCGTTGAACCCGCCCCCGTTGATGACCATGGCAGAGGGGAAGTATTCCCACCTGCTGTGCGTAGTCAGGGGCTCCTGCAGGAGCTCGGGCAGTTCGAAATCCTCGGGCCTGGTTATCGAGAAGGCGGTCTGGATTGGCACCGACTCGTCAGATGGTCGGGCATCTTCTTCGGGCTCCTTTGCCTCGCGGGCTTCACGACGGGGAGCGTCGTTTCTCCTGTACTGTGCAAGTCTTCCCCCTTTGATGAGGGTTTCAATGGCGTCCTTCAGGTGGACGCAATCTTCTGTCAAGTGACCATGACTCCTATGGTACTGACAGTATTTGTTTTTGTCTACTCCTGGCTTGGCAGGAGCTGGTCGGGGACGCTTGACGCCACCGTCTTTAAAATCTGTGCTTGCACACTCCGCCAGAATACGCTTGCGGGAAGCCGTGAGCGGAGTGTACTCAGTAAACCTGCCCGAGGGGCCCCTTTGTTCTTGGACCTCCCGGGGTCTGTCTTCCTTCCTCTTCTCTCCGGTGCGTCGGGGAGGAGGGTCTTGTCTCGAGCTGCTGCCATGGTTGCGAGCCCTGGAGTCTCGTGCCCTGTTGGCAGCTTCTCTCTCCTCGTAGTCCATATATGCTCGGGCTTTGTCGAGGAGAGCATCAAAAGTTGCAGGTGGCTCGATGCCTACAGCTTTCCTGAATTCTGTGCTGGGGAGGAGGCCCCTCTCCAGCAAGTACCTCTTCATATGGTCCGCGCAGGGGACCTGGATGGCTTCCCGGTTGAAGCGGTTGATGAATTCCCTCAAGGTCTCATCATGTCTTTGGATGATGGCCTCGAGGGCTGCCTCGGTCTTTGGATGGCGACGAGACGCTGTGAAGGAGCTGACGAACTGGTTCTTCAAGTTCCTCCACGAAGTGATGGAGCCCGGGGCAAGTCCCTTGTACCAGTCCATGGCCGCCTTCCTGAGAGTTGTTGGGAAGAGACGGCACTTGATGGCCCCCCCGACATTGTGATAGTGGAGCATGGCTTCGAACCCATCAATGTGGTCGACTGGGTCCGCCACTCCATCATACTCCTTTAGGTGTGGGGGCTTCTCCATGCCCGGGGGGATAGGTGCGTCCATGATTGCCTGCGACAGGGGACCGCGGGGGTCGTCCTCGTCGCTCCTTTCTGGAGAAAGAGAAGGGGTCCTGTAGTTGTGTCGGGCACGTTGCTCGTGCTGGGATTCCCTTGAACGCGATGTTCGGTGCTTGAAGGTCACATGCCCGTCTCTGTTGTGCCTCCGGTCGTGCCTTGATGGGTCGCGAACGGGCTCTTCGGCCGGAATGACAGGCTGTCTTTCATACTGGGGCCGCCTCTGCCTTGGTGTGGGAGAAGGGCTCCGAGAGTTTTCCCTGTAATGTCTCCGCGGGGGAGTAGGGTGTCGAACTTCTTCGACCCGAGGAAGTGGAGATGGTGGCCTTTGATGTCTCCTCGGGGGGCGTCGATCATTTTCCAGTGCCCTAAGTCTTTCTCCTTGCGCGAACAGGAGATAGTTCGTCTGGTTGATGGCCGCGAACAGTGCCTGAGCCGTGGCATCTGCCCCGGCAGGGGCTTGGACTTCATAGAACCGGGCAGCCTGGCGATAGGCGAGAGCCTCCGGATCGTCTTCGAGTCCTGGAGGAGTTGTCGAGGAGGACGCAGTGTTTCCGTCCCTGCGGGTGGAAGGTCCAGGGGCGGTTGTCAGGGGGGCGGCATTGTGGCCGGCACCACTGGGATTGTCCAGGTGCCCATTCTTGTCCGCGGGACCGTTGTTGGCGTCGAGGACGCGAGTGTGTTGCTCTTCACGAGTTGGAGAGGCCATGACAGTGAATGGATTGAGCTTTGGTCTTTGAAACTGTTCGTTAGACGGGGAAGCTGTTTCCCACAGACGGCGCCACTGATCCGACCTGATCAGAAGGTTTGGACCGTCACGGCTGCTCCGAGCTGAAGGCTTTCTGAACGAGGAGGGGGGGGTACCTGCAAGGCACTCCGATGCTTAAGTCAGTGGGAGTACTAGCAGATAATAGAGTTGAGGTTAGAATGATCAATACCTGACCCTCTGGAAACAGAGGGTATTTATAGCCCCCAGCGCTGGGCCAAGGTTCCTTCATTGGGCCGGGCGGATTTGGCCCAATGGAGGAACTGCCAGGTTCTACGTGGGTAGTGGGGACCAGCACGTGATCCCCTTCCTGGATATGCTGCATGAAGTGCGGGCGGACGGAGACGCGGTCTTTCCGGAGTATCGTTGGGGCAATAGAGGACTAAGTCTGCCCTAGCAAGTTAGCTCGTGACCATGTCGAGCTGCGCAGCACGGTGCCGAGCTCGACGCCAAGACCTCGAGCTGGACGGCGAGTGTCGAGCTGGAAGCCAGGACATAGAGCTGGACGGCATGATGTCGAGCAGGACTTCATCGTGGGGCTGGACACCGAGATGTCGAGGTGGACATCAGGGTGTCTGGCATGGACGTGGCCCCCTTTGCCCTTTGTGGTCCTTAGTGAGTCCCTTTGGATTGGGCCTTAGTAATGCTTTTGGGCCCGTCGGGCCCAGTCCAGAACAGAAATCAATCTTTTAAAAAAGACATATGCATGTAATACTCCATAGAAACCAAATTATATACATTGCATATATCATACAATTAAAGTTTCAATAATAATTATTATGTACGTATCAGTATTTTATACTCTGTCTCATCCTAAATATCATTATTAATATAATTATGATAGTTAATTTTGAATTATTACATTGTGTTTAATGAAATTATTCTTATTAGGTATATAAAGGTTGTTTGAAATAGACTATGATTTATATAGAATTTTGGATTTAGAATGTAATATAATTATTGAATCTTGAGATGTAGAATTTTGATAATTTTATCATGGAGGATAAGAAATTCGAAGAACCTCGTGATGAAAGTTCTTCGCAGTTTGTTGAAACAAAAATTGAAAGTTCGTCAATAATTATTGAAAAATAACTCGAACTTATAACAAGCTAGAGAGTCTAAAGTCTGGGGATCTGGGATGTTGAAAATCCAACAAATATCTATGATGAATTTCTACTAATCTTTTTGAACAAAATTGATATCACCACACAATGACAATTAATTATGAGAAAAGAAAATAAGACAATTATTTTCTACAGAAGCTCAAAACTATAAAAAAAAAACTCAAAATACTTATTTTGATACTAAATCAAATATATCTATTTAGATCTAAATCAAATTTATTTACTCTAAAATCAATCAAATATGTGTGTAGCTTGTTTCGATCTACAAACTCTTTTGTTGGACAACCTCCCTTCGACACATACTGTTTCGACAAAATTGAATTACAATTTAACATAAGACTATACAAAATCGATAAATTTATTTCTTTTTATATAGTAGAAATAAATAGTGAAAATTTTATTCGTAAAAACTCCTATTATTCTTTACATGGAAGATGATCTTAAAACTTATAATAAAAATATTTAGTACACAATTCTAACCTAGATTCCATTTGGTCTAAATTAATTTTGTAAACATCTAAGTTGTATTTTTTTGGTAAGATTATGAATGGTACATACACGATCCTAAGAAAGTGGGAGAGTATTAGAAAATAGAAGCAGTCTGCGGAAAGGAAATAGAAACGGGCAACGCATAGAGAAAGGGTCCGAATTGGAATACTAACAAACAGTTGGCCAATGATACCTTCTCCATCATCACACACCGTCCCTGCCCCTGCCCCCTCTTTTCCTTCCTTTCCTACTAAGCCAAATAAACAAAGATTTTTTATCTAAAAAAAATGATAAATAATTAAATTAAATGAAATAATATAATATTGGCTTAACCGCGTAGCTTGTTTGTGTTGTCAGTGAAATGAAATAAAGGCAAATAAAAAAAGCACAACGCATAACCCACCTGGCTTCAAACTCTTTCATTCATTTCATTCTCTCTCTCTCTCTCTCTAAAGAGTCCATCAACAAACCAAACCCTAGCGTTGTGCAATCAATCGTAAGGTAATTTCACCTCTAATTTCGCTTCTTCTAATTTTGGTGTCTCCAATTTCTATTATTTCTTTCTTTCTTTTTCCCCCAATTGTTGCATCTTCATTTTTTTTTTGGGCTTCTTCCGGTGTTCGAATCTCTTTTTTTGGATTCGTGTCTTTACCTCCTTTTCTCTTTCTCCGGAATGGACCGCTCTGACTTTCACCATCGTCATTCGGTACCTATTCTTTCTCTATTTTCCTCCAATTATTGCTCAATCAATTTTCCATTCGTTCTTCAATCTAAATTCCATTTTGACCTTCTTTCTTCTCTCCATAAGCTCATTCATCGGTTTTTTATTTATCATATACTGTTGTAAATCTCGGACTCATTAGATTCATAATTATAAATTATTGTATGGTTTATTCACAATGTAATCATATTGTTGGATGCTTTAATTCTTATTTTGTTATTTGGGAAATGGACATTTATTATAGAGATATATGTTGTTAATCATTTACATGTTTGGGGACTTTCTAAATTTGTGTGATTTTCGATATTTACGTGTGTGTGTGTGTTGTGACTTTGTTATGTAGGCACATGCTCCTCATCCTCCCCCTAATTACTTTGTTCGGGTTGGAGATTCAGATAATAAAGACGATTTATATTTGAGGAAGAGAACAAGGATGCGTCGTTGGCTATGCTGCACTTGTCAGGTCGAAGAGTCTTATCCATCAAATGAAAACGAACACCTGAAAAGCCCAAGGCCTTATGGAGATGGTCAGTTCCTTTTCTTTAATACGCCCTGTTATTCCTTCTGGCCGCAGTCTATTATTTGAGAAAGAAGCGAAAATAAACTATAAAACATATCATTCAAGAGATCTGTTACTTATGTGGCATTTAATTTCTATATACCAATACATTTCTGTTTATTTCTTCAACCTGGTCTAATGGACATTTAGATTTCATTTTATCGCATGTATATCATTGTTATCAAATATCCGCAATTGCAGCGCTAGGGCGGATATACGTGGGGGTTTTTTGGACCTGCAGATATATTGGCGCCACATAGCGTCCAAAATTTAGATTTCATTTTATCGCATGTTTTTCAGCCATCATCCGCTATAATGGTGCCACATAGTGCCCAGTATGGCAGAATTTTGGCTCTCCACCATGAACACTAATTAATATTAACTGTCTTTTCTTCTTATATGTACTTCAATTATCTTTAGTTCAAAATTTTACTGTCCTCATAGTTCTGCATATTAAATGGATGGGTCTGGCCCTTTCCTGATAAAGATTCCTCACATTTTATATACTTTAGGCAACACAAAAAGTTCGAGAGTGTCAGCTCCTCTCAAACCTGAAGTACAAAAGGCACCACCACCTATCGAAGTTCCTGCATTATCCTTAGATGAGCTGAAGGAAAAAACTGACAACTTTGGATCAAAGGCCTTGATTGGTGAAGGGTCGTATGGGAGGGTGTATTTTGCAAGATTAAACGATGGAGACGCTGTGGCTGTGAAAAAGCTTGATGTTTCTACTGAACCTGAATCAAATAACGAGTTTCTCACCCAGGCATTTTTCTTCTATCAGCTAAACAAACTGGTTCCTGCATTCACTTTATTTCCTTTCTCATTCAGTATTTTCTATTTCAGGTTTCCATGGTCTCAAGATTGAAGAATGACAATTTTGTTGAATTGCATGGATACTGTGTTGAAGGAAATCTTCGTGTACTTGCATACGAGTTTGCTACTATGGGCTCTCTTCATGACATTTTGCACGGTATATAGCTTCATATCTTTTCTTGACTTGTATATCATATAAGAAGTTCTATGGATGATTTTGGCCTTCATTACAGGTAGAAAAGGAGTTCAAGGGGCACAACCTGGGCCAATTCTTAACTGGATGCAGCGGGTTAGAATTGCAGTTGATGCAGCAAGGGGATTAGAATATTTACATGAGAAAGTTCAACCATCAATTATACATAGGGATATCAGGTCAAGCAATGTGCTTATCTTTGAAGACTTCAAAGCTAAGATAGCTGATTTTAACCTCTCGAATCAGGCCCCTGACATGGCTGCACGCCTTCATTCTACTCGTGTATTGGGAACATTTGGGTATCATGCTCCAGAGTAAGTTTCCAGCTTTGTATATATTTTAAGTATATGTTTTCTTTGGAGTGTTCATAAATATGCTACTGTCATCTGTATAAAACTGTATTGTATCTAGTATCCTTTGAAAATTTTTCTTTCTTTTTTCTGAAATGTTTTAGACTTGTCTATGTGTCTTATCTCTTTATATACAGCTGCAATTCTTGTTTTATCACTGTATCATTGTCATCTAATAATTAATGTTTCCCTTCACAACTTCTCTTGGATTCAATACATGTTAATAATGTTAATTCATTTCAAATGTGTAATATTTCTTCTATAACTAAGCAATGTTTCCCTCCACAATTTCTCTTGGATTCAATACATGTTAATGCTAATTCAATTCAAATGTGTTATATTTCTGCTATAACTGATGATAAAGCAGTGACTGTTGACATCAACTTCCACATGAAAAGAACCCGGGTTCAATTCCTAGAGTCACCCATTTAGAAGGTGGTCCAACCCTGGATAAAAAAACCAAATGTCTTGTTGCCAACTTGAGGGTAAGTCCCATAGTAGACCTAAAGGGGTTAGGCCGTGGGGGTACCTAGTAAGGGTCCAAAATCCTAATTACAGTGGTTTAGCAAAAAAATAAGTGACTGTCGACTGGTATGTTTTTGTTACGAAGAGCAAATGAGGATTTGGAACATAGGGATGAGAGTGATAAGGAGGTTATGTAATTAATTCCTCCTCCTCTGACAAAAAAAAACAACCAACTACTAATAATTGCTATTAAAACGGTTCATGTAATTTTGGTATATGCTCTATGATCTTGTTACGAAGGCATGCAATATCACTAGAAACCTTATGAAAACCAAATTGGTATCTTTTCCTTGCTGAGTTTTTCATTAGTTTTTGCTTCTCATCTCAACTTGCTTTTGTTAGATTTAATTGTTTATTGGTTCTTAGCATGTTTGTTTGCCAAACTTTGCAGATATGCCATGACTGGACAGTTGACTCAAAAAAGTGATGTCTACAGTTTTGGAGTTGTCCTTCTTGAGCTGCTTACAGGTAGAAAACCAGTCGATCATACCATGCCTCGAGGACAGCAAAGTCTTGTTACTTGGGTTAGTTTACCTTCTTAAACTCGTGCCTCATTACTGCCCTGTTTCAATTATTTACCAATGGCTGCCTGGTGTAGATATGTCATTGACATATATATTTTTGTAGGCTACCCCAAGATTAAGTGAAGATAAAGTGAAACAATGCGTTGACCCGAAACTGAAAGGAGAATATCCCCCTAAAGGAGTTGCTAAGGTAACTCTTTTCGCTCCCTCGCTTTAACGAACACATAATACATTGGATCTTCTATTCTGAGCTTGGCTGTAACAATGAACATTGTTGATTATGCAGCTTGCAGCTGTAGCAGCACTTTGTGTGCAGTATGAAGCTGAGTTTAGGCCTAATATGAGCATTGTTGTTAAAGCACTCCAACCACTTCTGAAGGCTCCTCCCGCTCCTGCACCTGAAACTTAAAGCAGATGATTTAAAGTTAAAAAAACAAACAAACTATTCTTTGGTTTCTGCATCTTCTGCACAGTTTGAGTCAGATATTATCAAATACTGCAAATAATAATATATATAATATATATTTTTATTTTTTGTTTGAGATTGAATGTGTAGGATTGGATTGACTGGTTTTGTTTAAATTCCATGTATTTCTGGTTTTGCACTTTTGTGCAGAAGATTATAGAGCCATACTGCAACATTGGATTTGGGTTTGGGTTGCGCGGTGCATACTTGTTTGTTAGATGTTGTTTGTCACTCGATGCAAATCCATCCATGTTCTTTATTTGTTTCCTGACTGAATTGATACTTGGATTGAAAGACCTATGTTTGCTGTACCTTTTTGTTTGCCTTTTCTATTGTTTGTTACTGGGTTATAGTTCAATGTTGCAATGGACAGTTTCTATTGAGCAAGAGAAAACCTATCAACAGTACACTTACATCATGCTATCAACATATTATCTATTGTCTAATCTAATACTATATGTGATGATGATGATCATAAAGTTATCTCATTTTTATGAAATTCAGTAAGTAAATATGTATTGTAGAGTTATAGTTTGGTTCTTTTAAGTTAAATTAGTCAATTTGGTATCTCCCATCAAAATATGTATTTAAAAAACATTCAACAATATAATTGGTTGATATATTGGTTTGAAAAGTTGTCATGTTGAAGAAATTACTAATTGACTAGAATTCTTTAAATTAAGGAGTTAAATTGTCATTTGACAAAATGTGCGATCCTTACAATTTAAGAGCCAAAATGTTTATTTACTCCTTAAACTTTACTATAAATTTTGATGGACTTTGCATCACTTTTAAGTTTCTCATTAAATCATAAATTTGTTTAAAAAGAAAGAGTTTTTATATCATTGTCTTTATACTTTGTTTTGAGACAAAGATTTACCTCTTCAATTGATTCTTCATATGAGTCTATATTTTCCTTTGTGATATCCTTCTTGTTTTCTTCTATCTTATTTTGACGCGTTTTCACTAATTCTTCTCTTTGATTTCTTGATCATTTTTAATTTATTTAATGTTTCTTATAAACTATCAGCAATATTTATATCTCTAGATTTTAATACCGGATTAGGTTTACAACGCCAATATTTAAATTTTAGATACTTGTTATAGGTACACATTTTGAATATATTGCCAATAGTTCTAACATTAGAGAATCAATATTGAATTTTTTTTCTTCATTATCATTTAGCATCTCTAATTTTTTATTTACTATGTTAATCCTTTTCATTTTAATCTCAGTAGAACATTCATGGATCACTTGAAGAGTATTTCACACTTTTTCAGAAATGTTATATTTAAAAACATAATTGTAATCTTTAATGTTTGATTAATTTATTATCGAGTATTTTACTTTAAAACAGTATTTTTCTTCTTCTTTTTCTTATGTGGTCCCACGAGTATTTTGGTTTGATCACCATTTTATTATTTATAAAATGAGTAGGAGGAAAACCTATAACATAATCTCATAGATAATGATCAAAAGCTTCTAAAAATAATTTCATTCATGCTTTTGCTATGATTCTTTACCATAACAAGTGTTAAGCTTTAATGTACCATATACTTTTAAACATTGTTTGAACCAAAATATACAAAACTATTGACTTCTTTATCTCAATCTCACTCTACCCTCTCTCACTAAATTTCATACTCAATACTCGATTCACTTTCTCCTACATTATTTTACCACACTTTACTATTTATTTTATTTTATTTTATTTGTGGCTCTAAATCTCAAGGCCCTTTTCCGAATTTTTAGAAATTTACAACAAATAATAATAAAAGTTGATCCCTAATAAAATATTAAACAGTTACTCTTAAATTTTTATATTCCGTTTTTGCTTTAAAGAGATAGGAGAAGGTCACTTTGTTAGACTCAATGGGAAGGACAGTTGTCATTAGAGGAGGTGGCCACGCGGTGCAGTGACCGGTGCGTGCAAGTTGAATGTTCGACGGTGAAAAATTAAAAGAGAGATAAATACGTGAAAACATATTAGTGAAGAAGATATGAATTTTATATTGATATCGCTACAATTAAATCAATATATTGAGTTAGAGAGTGTTGTATTGGTTGAAGATTCATTTTTATAAATAATATAGTTGTACGATGAATTTTTAAATATTTAATAATAAAGTGTATTAAAATATTTGTCAAATTTAAATATATATCTTTCTTTCCTATTCACTCGTACACCAAAATATTTGTCAATCAAAGAATTCACATCTGTCTCTTTTTATTATTTATTGAATCATGATATATATATATATATATATATATATATATATATATATATATATATATATATATATATATATATATATATATATATATATATATATATATATATATATATATATATAATCAAAAGCATTTTAAAGAATTATATAAAATAAAATTAATGAATTAAAATTTTATAATTTAAAATTATAATAGCAAAATTTAAATATATTAAAAAACGTTATTAGAAATATAATAATTTTAATGTCTCTAAACTTGATGTCTTCAGTTATTTGTATTTTTTCAATAAATTAGTATATTATAATAGTTTAACCCTTTTACCGATTTTGAGGTCCTCAATTTTTTTAATATTTTGAACCATGGACTTAGTTGTCCTAACTTAAAGCCGACCCTGCTAAATCTCTTTCTCATTATTTTTCACATATATGTAGACTTAATTAGACATGTGATCCCTAACTTCATTTATGGTTTCATATTGGTTAACTTTGTTAATAAACATTAATTTTAAGTTTTAAAAAAATATTTTTGTTAGTCAATTTGATTTTTTTGTTATTATTTTTTTCAAAAACGTTTAGTTATGCTTAGTTGGCATTCTATTTGGCATATTTTTTCACATTGGCTTGGTGGATGTAACATTTTCATCTCCTTCAAAATGATTTAGATTGTAAGCAAATGATTTCTAGGAATCATTACTCTTCTTCAAATACTATCCCCATTTTCTTTTCAACTTTTTCCCCATTTTTGCTTTATTGTTCATTTTTTCTCCTTGTCCATTTCTAAAATGGAAAGTTATGTTAATCTATTTTATAAAAAAAGTTCAACCAATCAACCTTTGGTTATGTTGGACATGTACAAAAATTACAAAAGAAGGGGAATGTTACTATCAAGAGGATTGCATTTTTCTATCTGTAATTAATATGATCAGTGATTAACATGATCAATTTGAATGGATAAATATTATAATTTTTTCAAGTGGTTAGATGATGACATTCTTGACCAAAGAGATTTAAAGATTGAAAGATAAAATATGTTTTTCAAATTGAAGATTGAGTTTGTTAATTTAGTGTTAGTAACAATATTTAAAATGAGTTTTTTTCATAAATTTATGTTATAAACCTTTGTTGAAATTAATGTAATATTTTGTGAGCAAAATCTGTGTTATGCAATTCTGTTATATTGTTACAAAAATACTATGCACGTGTATTGTGAAAATATTTCGTGTTAATAAAAATTTGGTGCTACAAAACTAGTTTGCATATGATTGGTTAAAAAACTATGTGTTGTAAGCAAATTATGCTTTGAAAAATTATTTTATATTTGAGAAAATATGTTATATTTGTTAGACAAGTGACTTCAAACATAAGAGAGAGATAAATTGTGGAGGTTTGAAAAATATATCAAATTAAAAATCCTTTGAAAAATAAGATTGTTTAAAATAATTTTGTAAAACAAACAGAAAATAAACAGCGAAATAAGTAAAGAAAGGGAAATCAAAATAAAGAAAAGATGTGAACACAACGTAAATATATAAATAACAGAAATATAAAGAGATAAGAGTCGAGAGAATCACATCAGTTGACCTAACCACTTGGTTTACTCCTCTTTCTAATAATTCTTCTTGAGTGTTTCTATTAAAGATGTGAGTTTTTTTATAAGTTATACCAACAAACCTTCTAAAAATCAAACATGAGTTTTACAATGACCATCCTTCATACCAAACACGAGATTTTACACCAGTACAATCTCATAACCAAACAATCACTTTTATATCAGACTGAACTCACGAACTAAAAGGAGATTTTAATGGATAATCTCACGAGCCAAATGAAAGCTTCTATACCGGACTAAGCACACAAACCAAATAGAGATTTTAAGTGACTAATAAACTAAACAAAAGTTTTTGATAGTTCACTGCACAAATCAAATAAAAAACTTCTTACAAGAGATATTACACAAGAGACAAAATTTTCTTGTGTACTCCCTCCATTCCTATTTATAAGTAAATTTCTCACATTCCACACATATCAATAAACCTAATTAAAACTCAATGAATTCTTTGACTTCTATAAAAATTAGTTAAGTATCGACAACATTACCCTTTAGTAATTTAAAAAAAATGAATATTTATAATTATGAACCACCCTAATAATAATTGTTGCATTAATTAGTAGTCTTTACAACACAATTTTTCATCTTCTATTCACGTGTTCTGCAAACTTTTCTTATAAATAGGAATAGAGGGAGCATATTACCAAAAAAAAAATTCACTAATATTTTTCATTCTCAAAGCACTAAAGAAATTTAGTGAAAAAGAGATAAATGAGAAAGGAGCGAGTAAAAAGAGAGAGAAAGTGTATAGAAATACATTTTCTGGTATACTTTGAAAGTGAGGAGAGACCTTTTATTTATAGGTGAAAAATCTAGATCAAAAAGGAAAAAGACTCACGGGCCTTAAAATTTCATAATCGATTGAGTCATAGGGTTAATCGATTATGGGATTTAAAATATAGTAACCCTAATTCCCATAAAAAAAACCTCTAACGGTTGGTGTCTTAATCAATTAGGAGTTTTCTTAATTGATTACGCCTTACTTTAATTGATTGATTAAGGACATTAATCGATTAGGCAGTGTATACAAGCTTTCAAAATGATTAGGAACATCCTTGATCAATCCCACGAGTACCTCGATGGTTTCTCTATAGATTTTAAGGTGTTTTGTCAAAATTATAGAGGTTAAAACATATTTAGTTGAGTGTATGCATTGCTTTAGTAGTTTAAGAATTACTCTAATATATTTATAATACTCTGGTAATTCAAATATGGACCAAACAAGCTTTTACACTTCCTCTCTTTCACAATATTTAAAGCTTCAATATCACTATCTTAATTCATTATTAATTTACCATTTTATCTAGGACTCGACTAGTTCTAACTAATGAGGCTTGATAAAACTTTTAGATAGACACCGGCATCAAAGATTGCTTGGCTAAAGATCATCCAGGACCAAATGCCACTTGACATTAGGTGTTATCCTTAGAGATGTTGGTTTTGGTAACTGATCTCACAAATAGAACATCTTGATAAATTTTGATCTCGACTGATTAAGACTTTACATCATAATGTAGTCATCATAAAAACCATTGTGGATATCTAATTTCTTTAGATACTCTATATACAAGCATGTAAATACGCATTATTGAGAAATTATGTTATATTGAGTAATTATGTGTTATATTGACAAAACCAATATGCATTTGTTGTACAATATCACATG